AGGTGTGTGTGTGTGTGTGTGTGTGTGTGTGTGTGTGTGTGCGTGTGTGTGCGTGTGTGTTTGGATGAAATGCGCGTGTAGCGTGGTGGGATGAGGCTTGGTAGTGCTTTAAGTGTGACTGTGCTCATGCGTGGGCGCATACGTATGCGAATATGCATGCCAACACACTTAATACACTCATGCATATTCACACACACGCGCGCACACACACACCTGCTTTGTGTAGCGCTGGACAAGTACGAGGGCACGACGCAAAGCGTGTTCTTCTGGAACGACATGAACGAGCCGTCTGTGTTCAACGGCCCAGAGGTCACCATGCACAAGGACGCAAAGCACCTCGATGGTACGCCCCTTGCACGCACACATGCGCGCACTGTGTTTGCAAACTGCATCGCCACCGCCAATGCAGTTTGCTCTTCGCTTTGCAACCTGTGTCCACGCTCGTGATTGATTCGCAATCCAATGCACCCCATCACCATCACCATCACTCCCATCACCATTTCCCCCTTCCACGTCTTTAGGCCGAGAGCACCGTGACGTGCACAACATCTACGGCATGTGGCAGCCGGCCTCCACTGCGGAGGGCATTCGCCGGCGCTCTGGTGGGCACCAGCGCCCCTTTGTCCTCTCCCGCGCATTCTTTGCTGGATCGCAGAAGTACGGCGCCATCTGGACAGGCGACAACACTGCAGAGTGGGGGCATCTCAAGGTGCGCTGATGACCTGGCATTTCGTGTCGTGTGTGGTTTGTGTGTGTGTGTGTGTGTGTGTATGTGTATGTGTGTCTGTGTCTGTGTGTATGTGTGTGTATGTGTGTGTCTGTGACATCCTGTTTGCGTACTTGTTACTTGTTTCGTTGCTTGTTCACCTGGTTTGGCTGCCGTTATTCCAACGTGGCCCCGCTCCAACACCCACATTTGCCCACCATCTCACAATACAACCACGCTTACCTCCCCCCCCCACCTTTACCGCAATTCACAGGCAAGCGTGCCCATGCTGCTGTCTGTGAGCGTGGCGGGCCTCCCCTTCTGCGGCGCTGACATTGGCGGGTTCTTTGGCAACCCGGAC